GAGACAAGAGTTGAAATTATATCCATTCCACGGTTGCCAGTTTGGGGTTATTGACTTGGACGGGAATCCCATGAAGAAGGGTTGGATGATTGCAACAAACATGGAAGAGTTGTCAAGTCTTTCGGAATACGTTTGTGATGGTTCCCACACTCATGGTCAAAGCCGGGGTACTGCATTGAAACTTGCAGAGAACTACACATTCAAGTTGACTGACTTCATCCATGATTGTTTTCGTTCCAGAGCTAACCAGGCACAAGCCGCCAAGAACAGGAAAAGGTTAGCTCTGCCCGCCATGAGCCGCCGTTCTGATGATTCAAATTTGTCGATCACTGAAAAGATGAACGTGCGGGCTCTCAAGTCGGCCGGTTTAAAGACCGTGCCCCAACAAAGCAACATGTCGGAGTGGCTTGCTTTTCGGAAGTGCCTTGATGTTCAGGGGGATAGGCACGCAGGGTGGGAGGACATCTTTTCTACGGTCCTCGCTTCGTCAACCATCCTGGCGCAGGGCAACAGGACAGAAGACCTTGAGTTGGCCGCAGGATTCATGCAATGCTTCACTGCGCAATCCATGGCAACTGACGCCCTGACAAATGTGCCGTGGGCAAAGGAGATCCGCCATCTGTCCGAGCTTGAGCATGACTCGCTGTGGGATCTGAGCTTGCCTACTGAGTACGTCCCTGGGACATCAAGGCCGGCGGTAGACGTCGTGCCCACCATCTACGTGGTGACTTCCGATTCAACTTTGGCTCTGATCACTGGAAAGGGTAAGACTTTGAAGAAGTACACCTTGAAGGAGGATCTGGGATTGCGAGAGTCGGACATGGTTCTCGAAATCGGTCATGACATGCTCTGGGGTAAGGATTTGCAACAGCTCTGCAAAGCAAATATTTCCATGATCAAGGAGCTGATGGCGAAATATTCTTCTCATGGATCAGCCATCAGGGTTATTTCGGTAATCTTTTGGTCTGGGAATGAAATTTGTGGGGAATATGGTGTTGAACCCCTTCCCATTTGGGGGCAGAGGGAACCACAGGGCGACTGGAATGCCATCATGGACAGGGTCAAGGGCAACATCGTGTGGTGGAACGATCAGCTCAAGGAGTTGGGAGTGGATCAGGCCGCCCTAATCGGCGAGCCCGACCCGCTCACTTATGGATTGAGTCTCATCTTCACCACATTTGTGGAGCGACTGAAGGAATGGTTCCACAAGGAGATTGCCAGTGACAACGATCGGATTCGGTGGATTCAGAATGACAGGCTTCCACCAAGGCTTGAGCTCAGGGACTACTTTCACGCATTCGAGACCGAGCTCAACCGGAGTGAGATGATCGGATATGTCATGGCAACTCTCCACATGTTGCACATGACGGACATCTTGATTCCCCAGTACAACCTGTCTTTGTACAAGCGCAGGCGTCCTGCAGGAGAGGCTACAATGCGTGATGTCCCACCAAAGATGGAGCACCTCCCAGTCAGGTTTGTGCAGGTCCTCAATGCTCTCCGTGAGAAGACGAACAAATCTGCGCCGAGCGTCTCGACCCCAGAAAGCTTCACAGCAGAGGAGTTGAGAGCTCTACCATCATTCCGAAACATGCACTTGGACACCTTGACAAATATCGTATCACTTTGGACGAAAACATCAATGCAGAAGTAGTTGAACATTGTGTCGTTGATGTCCATCCCTACGAATTGATCATCAAAACCTGTTGGGAGATGGATGGGGCAAAGGAGCTGAGGTACCCAGATCGCATGGACCGACACAAGACCAAGGTCAATGCAGTGACGCGTGGACAGCCTGGTCAGGACACCTCTGGATTTGATGAAAACATGTGGCTTGACCTTGATGACTTCTTTCGAATGTTCAACCAAATGCTGCCAGCCAAGTTGCCCCGAATGACAGTTGAAGAGCTCATTTCCCTTCTCTACTGGGACAGCAAGTGCCGTTTTGAGTTCCAGTGCATTGCCGGGTACCAGAAGGCAACCCGTAAAGGGTTAGCCTACTGGCCCATCAGGATCCGTGCAGTGCAGGGGCACGCGAAACGTGCCATGGATGCCGCTTCAGCTGAGGACACGTTCAATGCAGTGGAAATCTATGCTCTGTCTGGAGCAGCAGCGATCCAGAAAATGAACGCCAAAGGTAAAAAGATTACCACTCCTCAGATGTGCCTTGGCGTAGTTTATCACCGTAGTTTATCACAGGACTACAAAAGGCAATTGGAAGGGCATCATTGAGAATGGCTTCATGGCTGGAGGAGGAGAACGAAATTCATCAGGCAGAGCACACTCCTATTTTAGCGACGTGCGTGTCGATGAGAAAGAGTATGTGAGCGGTTTGCGTGCCGAACGACCCATTGAAATCAGGGTTGCAATGGCAGAAGCTGTCAAAGCTGGAATTGTGTTTTTCAGGACAGCCTCCGACGGCATTCTTACAAGTGACGTCGTCCCGCCACAATACATTATTTCTGTCGATGACACTGCCAAGAAGGTGAATTTGTATCGTCGCCAGCAGGAGGTCGCACAGTCTGCAGCAAGCAGTGGGGGAGAAGTTGGAGTCCAGCAGCTTGTCGAGACCTTTGAGGCCAAGGCATCAAAACGGACTGGTTCCAAGTCTCCGGCCGCCTCAACTGGCGCGCCCACTGCAACAGCATTTTTCCCAGGAAAGGTGAAGCCTCCGCCACCAAATGTGGCCCAACTTGCCGGTATGCCTGGATATGCAAGCAGCAGATTGTTGCCCCCTCCTCCGAAGGGTGAAGCTCCAAAGCCTCCTGCAGCAAAGGTTGAAAGCCCAAAGACACCGCCAAAAGCACCTCCAAAACCATCACCGAAGGAAGGGACTTCTGCACCTCATGCACCAGAAGTTCCAAAAGCTGTGACCTCAGAAGTTGATGCAGCAGCAAAGGATGAACCTGCAAAGAAGAAGGCAGCCCTGACAAGCGTGCCCGCAGCTGTGCCTGCGGCATCATCAGCTGCGGCCTTCTTGGAGCCGGTATCAAAAGTTGCACCGCCAAAGGCAGTACAGAAAGATCCAAAAGCTCCAGTTGCAGAGTCACCCAAAAAGACGCCGGCATCAACATCAAAGTCACTGGTGCCAAAGCAGAAGTCTCGCCCTAAAGGCGATGACCAACCTTCAAAGAAAGAGGTGAAGAAGGAGGACAAGAAGCCGGTGCCGGTCAAGATTGAAGTCACACAATGTTCAAGATGTTTTGCACAAACTTTCAAGGGACAGATTGAATGCGATGTGTGTGGATTGATGCTCGAAGGGGTGAACAAGGCCGACCGAACCAAGATTGCAGAACGCAGGAAGGCCGCCCTTCACAAGCTGGGCTTGTACTATGATTTTCGTGGTGAGTACCTGCAGAGCATTACACACAGTCAGCTTGAATCTTTGGGTTTGTTGGACGACCAGGCAAGAGGAAGCTCTAGTCCGGAAGCCAGTCTATTGGCAAGGGCAAAGAGTCGATTCGACCGTGCCTTGAGCTTGGGCTATGTGTCTGTGGCTGACAGGTTTGCCCAGGACGCCACATTCGCAGAGAGCGTGCTGAACGAGGGGGAGAACGAGTACGATTGTGAAAGGTACGACCTCCTCAAGTCTGCACATCTGCCAAAGCCAGGTCGTACCAAGGCTCAGGTCAAGATGGGTGTTTCTGAGCAATCTCAGCTGGAGCACAATGCTATGAGGCTGGTTTACTTGGATCTGGCAAGCCGTCTTGACGTCCCGAAGTCGTTCAGGTACATCGACCAGCCATGGTTCTACATGTACCGGACGGAAATCTACTCCGAGGAAGAGTACATTGACTACCTCAACCGGAATCCTGGACACAACCTTTTGTTGTCTTGTACTGGCGTTGACAACATTGCTGTTCATGATGCTGAACGTCATTTGAGGTGGATTAAGGGACAAAACGAGGAGCTGTACAAGCAGAACGCTGCGGAGAAGAAGAAACAGTCTGACAGGGCCCGCGAACAGAACGAGGCCAAGCGCAAAGCTGAGCAGACTGGTGCATACGGCCAGGGTCCCTCCAAGAAAGGCACCGCCAAACCGGTTGCCCGAACATCCACCGTAGAGGTAGCTTCATCATCAACGTCTGCAAGTCAGTGGATCAACCGCCCTCAGCAAAGTCAGTCCCACGATGATCGCCGTTACACTGGAGAATGGCAGAAGTGGCATGGGCGCTGGTATGAGAAAGTTATCAGGCATGGCCGTGTTGAATGGGAAGAGGGATAAGTTGTGAAACTGCTTGCATTGACGATCGGTTTTTGTATCATAGCCGCTGAGTGTGTTTTCCCTTGGGTTTGCGAAGAGCCAGTTCGGTGAGGCAGGTCTTAAAGACCTCGCCCTGGTAAATGTGGCATCCTCGCCGTAACCGGCTCACCTGAGGGGGGTGTAAAAGCACCTCACATAAAACACACATGTATCATAGATATATACGACAGCATTGCGGCCCGAGTCAAAAGGGAGTTTGGGTCGTTGGCTTAACGGTTTTTGTCCTTTGTTTTAGGTTTATCAGTCTATCTGGGGATAATAGGTATTACCCCTGCTGAAACCTGAAAATACAGATTTATAACCCAGAAAAAAACAGCCCAGGATATTTCATTAATCTAAGCGATATTTTTTTTCTACGGCCACTACCCACTAAAAAATGGTGGTTCCTTCCCAAGCTACCAGAATTCTTAAGCCATAACCACAATTTTCTAACCACCTATAAAGATCCATTAAACATTCATTCAACATCAATGATGTATCATTATTGGGACTCAAGTCAATATCTCCAGGAAAACCGCAACTAACTAGATCCGTTAACATCATTAACCGCCATTCCCTGATCCCGCTGCACTCATCAACTGCTGCTTCAAAAAAAGATATGAACTGCTCATCAGCAAACTTACTGGTGCTTAGTTTTTAGTGGGGGTTGCTGATCTGTAATTTTTCAAACATCATCCCAGCAACCCCAGCAACCCCCAGCAACCCTACGTTTAGCACGCACGACTCCCTGCCCGAG